TCTCTTTCATGTCTGTGAAGGGGGATATGATTAACATAACTGCTTACTTGTATCGATTGCTATAATTCACCCAAACAATCTTCACTACTGAAATGAAAGGAGTTATTTAAGAAGTATTTCCCTGCCTTTAAGTAATCATCGTTAAAAGAATCGTAACTTCCCATTGATATAAGATTTCTCTGGTTATTTAGATAGCCAGTTTGATGCATTTTGACTTGGTTACGAGGTGATTATTATTATTATTTCCCTTGTGCTCCCTTCTCATAATATGACTAATTTCGTGCATATCTTAAATTTCTTCTATATGCAAACCACGAAAGCGATTGGCAGTAAGCTCTTCTCTCAACCTAGAGTAGAAGATCAAACTTGATCTCACATACTGTTCTAATGCGAACAGATACACATGAGCGGTAGACAGTAAGTTCTTGATGAAACAAACAGTACGATTAAAACAACAGTTTCACCAACTTTGCTTATCTGCATCACTGTCAGTTTGACGAGACTGAAGTCTGAGTTAGATCAGTATTAGAAACCATGGCCCGTTGTTTGACAGTCAAATGATTCATCTGATAAGCCATATATCATAGTGTTGTCAAAGAAGAAGTTGGTACTGTGTGATGATTGAAGGTAAGATGAAAATTTGAACCGCTGTCCGATTCGAACCAGCGACAAACGGCCTTCCAGCCTGATGTTATACCAACTGAGCTATGGGGTCCGTGTGATGACCAGATTTTTATTTCACTTCAGTCATCAAGGGTTTTCAATCACAGGTTCATGCATCTTTGACCAACTTCTGCTTTACTGCCATGAGCATAATTAATGACGTTGAGAAATTCTCCACTTACCACTAGTTTACAGTCAAGGGTGAAAAATGAGTTGAATGGATACGGGTTACTTATGTGAACTATAGTCAAGACTTTGCCTACTTATGAGTAACCAAGCGGAAAGTATACCCTTAATATGTAGGTTATATATGTGGTAATCTCAGTCTATTTGAAATAAAGTACTTCTAAGGTTTGATACGAGAACTTGGACTTAGCTTCTGTAGGGAAATCATCAAATTTAAAACATCAGAGATATCTAGGCGATTGCTGAAACATGTGCTTCATCTCGTTGGCCAATTCTTCGTATGACTATTGTTTTCAAAATATGATTACTAACCAGTCAGTGTAAAATTGTAGATAGTTGTAGCTTATGGGTGATATTGGCTAATGATCGTGCTGTATCAAAAGCTGATAAAAGTCGGAACAACTGAACTACTGAGTTTCAACCAAGTGACTTAGTCGTAATGGGCTCACCGCAAGACCTAACGATGTTCAGCTTCACCCTTCAACTGGTGATGCATTTGAAGTACTGAGTTATTTTAAACTAGAACAGCTATTCAGTGCTTTTAAGTTCTCATTAGACATCTAGATGACATTAATTACTTAAGGAAGCCGGTTCAGGGCATTTATATAAATGTATTGCTGGTTTGATAAAGCAGAGGTGAATAACAGTAACAGTAAGCCAATTCAATCTCGGATTTGTACTCATGTTGATCAAACGTTAAGGAAACTGAGACTAATAATGAATCAAATGAAATGTAGTAGTCCTCCCTTCAAGTTATCACACAATTACTGTCTGTACTCCATCTTGTTTGTTCAAATTCCTGGAATATGCCTATATATGTAGGACCCAAGTAGCCAATCTTTCTCAGTATGACTTGAAACTCTCTAACTGAACCTCAGTTCAGTCAAACTTAATTTCATGTCCCATTTCTAATTTTACAATGTCCGCTAAGTTTTTGGCAATCAATTTAGATGTAGCCTGCTTTCTCTGATATTTACATTTACTAGCCTGGTGGTCAACGCTGTCTATATTGCATTATATTCTGTACATTTCATTTCGTAAACAAACTTCTTTTGATCTTCCCTCAGTATTAAGTTCCTCACCTTCATCAAGGTGAAATTTAGTGTTTATTACACGAGAATAAACCATGAAGTCATGACTGCTGAGAATTCTTCTAATTTCTCCAAAGATTTCCTTGCGGTATAGAGTTATCATAATGTTAATTTACTTCTTTGAAAAGGGATTCTGATACACTCCCAACTTCCTTTCTTAGGTTTCTGTTTATAAAACTCTTGATGTTATAATTCATTTCAGGTGTACAATAAATTAAGTCTTACTCTATACTGTTAGCCTCTCTTGTTATAACAAGACGCTTGACTCTGTTGATTAGATCCCTGGAGATTGTCGTCTTCGTGGTTCAGTTGAATGTATAGTATTAGTAATCTGTGTGCCTTGAGTGGAGTGACTTGGTTAGCAGCTGCGTCTTGTATCTCAGTTAGTAGAGCAATACACTGATAACTCATAGGCTGCTAGTTCGAATCCTATGGCGACTCAGGTTTTCATTTCAACTTCAGTCATTACCTCGTGTTTGGATATTTATTGGAGTGTATTAGTCTCTTGCAAGATTTTATCTTCACTTCGCTATTCTTCTGACTTTCAACCATGCAATGCATAGCAGCCAATTTTTATAACTTGGAAACTATCTTTTTGGAGAAGGTATTGTAGTGAGTGTTGCTGATGAGAATGGATATAAGTAGTATATGTTGAGAAAGGGGCTGAAGTAGTAGGGAATTAGTAGCAATTGGTAAAGATTCTGCTCAGAGAAACGCAAGAGACAATTTGGGTGTATTAAAAGGAAATCAAGAATCAGAAGAGGAAATGTAGCACAATGTGCAATTGGTTGTCCTAGTAGACAGTGTACAATATTTGATGACTACTGTACAAGATTTCAATAATAAATACTCCTTCCTTTCTTATCCGTCTTGTCGTTTCTACAGTATTTCTTTCTGATTCATCACTTTCATCTTCAAAAATGTTCATTTAAGCTGTCATTTTAAGTGATCACAAACCTGTCGGCTTTATAGCACAAGGTATTCACTACATTTCATTTGAAAGACAGTTACATAGATCTTTATCTGATAATATATTGGTTAACCGCATCATGGCTAAGCGTATAAGATTCACTGCCAAAAAATAAACCTTCATGTTCGTACAAGTTAGTTTCCTATTTTCACCCGGTAATCATCTTGACAAACTGAACATTTAGATGGTATAATGTCATTCAAAGTCTCAATAATCTTAGCCAAATTCAATTCACTATGTATTCACTGGTCACTCATGTAAGCGGCTGAAAAAAGAATCATACCTGCTTAAGTTCTTAAGGTTCGCTAAAGCTTTTGCTTATTTCGTTGTAATAGGCTCACAACTAGTTGAAATATCACTTGTAAATTAGCCGTTTTTATTGCATTAATCATACTTAACGTCTACCCCCGGGGGCGTCCGGGGATAAACCGGTGTAAATATACCACACATAAGACAAAATTCACTTTTCATACTGAAATTTGTCGTTCTTTCATCTTGAAAGAGTTTCGTTGGTGAACTAGTCAAGCAGTTTTATATATCAAGTGTAAGTCTAGCTAGACAGATGTTGCGTATACTTGACTTTGAGTTAACCACGTTATTCGGTCGTCAGATGAACATAATACAAGATGAGATATTAACGACTCAGTATCACAATAGCCTGCGAGATCAGAACATGGATGACATCCTACAGTTAAACGATCCAGCTTTGATCACCCACGTAAACGACAAAGGTTGACGGATGAATAAAAATTTAATAAAACTATTTACGAAAAATAACTTATTGATAATTGTAATTTATCGTTATTATGCTGGATCTAATTGATTGGTCTATGTTTGAATGTGAGCTCTAATGATGATGCTTTGCTATTTTCTGAATATTCATAGTTATAATTTACTTGATGGTGGCAAATAGTAGAGCTTGAGGTGCACATTTTGTCCCATCTAGGACTTGTTAGCTGCTTTTACCTATATCTTGGTGGTGGTTTTACTACCAGGGTTCTTACCTGGCACCAGTCGCTTTATATGTCAAAGCGTTATCCACTAGGTCACTGAGGAGTGGGAACCGCCTTTCATCCAAGGGTTATCAGTTGTTTTTTCTTGATACCTTTAATTTTCCTTTTTTTAATTGATCGAATTAAAAGAGTATTATGAAACGAGGTTTCACGTACAGTGTTTGACGTGTGCTTGATTACATTCTACATTTTCCTTTCAATAGTTTGGTATAACAGGATTGGATACCGTACAGTTGTTTAACCGATTTAATCTCAAAACTAACAATGGTGAATCCTTGTTTATTTAATCAGCTGAGTTGATTCCAAGCAGTCAACTAAGAGACCTGAATTCAAATGAGTGAAACGATCCATTGGTTTTTTTTAGATAGATAGCGATCACGGAAAAAGAAAGACTTTAAGTGTATGGTTCCCAAAAATAGTTCACTCTCACTTGGATAATTAGTTACATTGTGAAACTACTTTAGTGGTTGTCAATCATTAATTCTAGACGCAAAAGACACGAATAGTTGGCTAGGGTGTAAGAATTTGCCTAGGTTTCAGCAGTGCATTACTGTTAGTTTACTGGCGACTTTTGAAAGCTTCTTCTTGATTCTGGAAACTACATGAAATAAGTCTTCTAACCTTGTGTGTTCACAGTCGACTAAGTGTAGTAGTATAGAGCGTTCAGTCTATTCATTCATATGACTATTTGACCACAGAACGTTCGTTTCAGCTTCTGTTGAAATATTCACGTCTATGGGAAACACGATCAAGTTCATTGGGGGACTAAAATTGATGAATATAACGATGTGAATATATTATTTCGTCTATGCTGTAAACTACTCCTTTTTATCAGTTTAGTAATCCAAGTTGTTACAAAGAATCATTTGTAATATAGCTCATTTTTGTCAGCTTGTTCTGACATAACACTGACAGAGAACTCTTCAGCCTTAGTTAGACAGGAGATGGCTTTTCTCTTGATTAGTACTATTTCTCTCCATGGATCACAGTTAGTCTCGAGTTTTCTTGGTCTTGTCATATAAGCCTGTTTGCTTATCAACACTTAACAGATTTCATTATTTTCTGTTCATTTTACAGAATGAAGATGCAGCTAGAAAAGCTGGTGTTTCACTGTCAATTGAAGGCAAACAAGAAACAAGTGCACATTTTAATCCTCAACTTATTGAAAAATCAGTATCTGGTGATGATAATGGTTTACTGATTGTATCAGCTGAGACAGTTGTACGAAAGCCTAGTCCTACAGCGGATGCATTAGGCTCAGCTGAAGTAAGTTTCAGACTATTTATTAAGAAAAAATTATGTAGAACAATATGCACTCATACCGACTGAATCACACTTTGTAATAACCTAACTATCACATCAGAAGGCAAGAAGATTCACAACCCATCTGATTAACCAGTAGTAATAACATGTTAAATTTTGTCTCGATTTCTAGCGACCTAATTAAGTTTGGAGGTTTATGGGGATCTCTTGATTTTAATTTGACTTTCATCATGGACTGACATTATTTGGAGTATTGCTGAACATCTCGGATCACTGTACAACTGTTTCTTCCTGGTATTGGAGTCTTTAGCAGTACGCGTCCACCTCTCCAAAGAGAGTCATATGTTTGCCTCAAGTTCTACTACTTCTCATTAGAACTTCGAGCAATCTGTTCTCGAAGCGCGTCATTAATGGAGACTCAGCAGTAATTTATTTTGGAGGTTTATGTGGATGTATTAGTTTGCGCCATATCACAAACTGACAGAAGGAGGAAAATGCAGATCATTGGATTCCAACCAAGTGTTCACCTCAGAACCTGAAGGTTTTGTTATAGGTCTCTGGTGGGGTGATAAGTGTGTGCTCCTGACAAACCCTATACTAGAAGGAAACAGCTATCTAGTGTCCCATGGTTTTAGCTGGTAATGTTGCTTGCTTATAAAACTTATCAGTTCCTACTATCAACTATTATTACTAGTTAACTAACTATTCTGTAGTGTCTATTACTTGCATAAATGCATAAAAGTAATAGACAGTGCAACGTAGTTACGAAAAGTAGTAAAATTTATTATTCAGCTGATATCAGTTCTGATTAATCCAACAAAGAACACCCGATGAAAAATGGAGATGACAAGTGAGCGAGTAGGCAAAACAGATTGTCCATTGCATATGTTAAAACAGGATGCAGATGTTGTGTACATTCAGTTGAATTTGAGGTTGTAATATTTTATGAGTACTGATTATAATTTATATGATAACCAACTATGAGTGTCTCTTAAAATGGTGATGTTGACGCTGTTATCGGTGCGATCTGGTTGGATCCTTTTCATATTACTATACGAAACATGATAAGTAGTCCAATTCCCCAGCTGGTATATTTCAGTTGCTTGAGATGTATTATTCATGTTCCCTATAGTGATATTTCAACTGGAATAGAATTTTAAGACTTATGGTTTGATGTGCGTCAGACATTTCTGTTCTCAAACAATATGAGTACCTCCAGAGATTGTAGGTCAGCTAAAGGTGGTCTAGTCAAGAAAGCAAGAATGAGTTTTAGTGAAACGAGTACTATTGAAAAAACAAGGCAACTAAGCATTTGATAATACACGTGTAAAACTTGAACAATGTGGTAGAATTTAATTCCATATTATCTTTGTTTATTTAATTTATAACACATAGTGTCATATAGTATTATATACTTGGTGACCACGCTTCGAGCATAAATTATCCCTACTCATAATCATATCAATAAAATCAAGTGGCTTTCAACACATACTTTGTATAGTTCTATCACCTCATATTCTCTGTTTTTAGTGATAATAAAATTTCACATATCTATGGTATAAGTGTAGCACCATTTTAATAACATGTGTCGGGTGTTGGCTAATTCAGTGAACAAAGATTCAGTAATCAATCTCTCTCAATCTACACCTAATCATATTCGACTTAAGCACAGTGGTTTTATACCACCCACCGTATTGTGTGGTTGTGTGTTAATGCATGCATTGTAATAACCGAGTCCTTTTTATAGATCATTGATCTACAGACTGTAGTATCCAAACCACCATCTGTCTTTCACACGAAAACACAACAAACGAAATAATAACAGTAACACGAGTACGAACAATAACGACAACACGAGTGGGAAGGAGTTCACAACCTCCATTATGTGAGGACAAAACATCAGAAACTCCATGTAGGATCCTGAACAAAACTGGAATTAAGGTGACATTTAAACCTATAAACTCACTCAGAGATAAGCTTTGCTGGATGGCTTAACGATCTGACAGAACCAACTAATCAAAAAAATCTAATCTATCAAATTCCATGCAATGCCTGTGAGTTAGATCAAGTACATAGGTCAAAGCAGTCAGGAGATCGGCATCAGTTAGTTTGGTGAGACATAGGAATTAGGCTAAATGTAGAATGATAGAGCCGAATAAGATGAATAATCTAGAAAAAAGCACTCGTCTATTACAATGTATTCATTAACATACAACCACACAATACGGTGGGTGGGATAAAGCTGGTGTACTCAAGTGGAATATAATTAGGTGTAGATTGAGAGAGATTGATTACTGAATCGTTGTTCATCAAACACATGTAACAGGAATGACGCAACACTTATACCAGAGATTGATTGACCAATAGAAACAAAGAATAAGAGGTGATGGGACTATTGAAAATGAATGTTTAGAGTAGTATGATTACATTGATATGATTATGAGCAATGATAATTTATGCTCGCAACATGGTTATCAAGTAAATAATACTATATGACACTGTGTGTTATAATTTAAATAAACAAAGATAACATGGAATTAAGTATTTATTAGTTCATAATACTTCTGGTCTTAGCATTGCTTTTATAGTTGACTAGCAATCAATAATTATTGTCACATTCTCTCCTAGGCTTTATTATTACGTCGTAAATTAGAGAAACAAGAGTTGAGTGATGAGACGCCATCATCATCAGATCACTTTTCTGGTAAAGGAGGGGATAATTCCAATCAAATTTCAAAGGCTAAAAATAGTCTGCATCAATCATTCAGGGATACAGCTAATGTACAAAAATCGTTAACTGATCGAAGTTATTATAATGATCAGAACCACCATCATTATCATCATCATCATCCTCATCGTCATCATCAACGAAATTATCATCAACCACATAATCCTAAACATACAAAATATAAATGGCGGCAAACTAGATCAATTTCAAATGATTATGGGTTGAATGCAAAGTACGATCTTCTCAAAGATGGTTATCATAGTGATGAAGCTTCAATTAATAGCTCTTTATCGAGTGAATCATCGAAAACACTAGGTAATCGTTGGTTTCGTACATCCTCTTCGTATAATTTAACTACAGATTACCCGAATCGGCAATGGAGACCTCGTGGCGCTACAAAAAGTAACCTGCATAGAGGATATCCATTCGAGAATCACGAATGCCTTACAAATGAAAGAATCACTAAAAGAGAAGGAATACGACGTAAAAATTTGCTCAGTCTTTATGACAGCGGTATATATCCTGGTAATATGGATCAAAATTTTGGCTACTCTGGTAAACACCCACAGTCTTTCAAGGATTCTGCCTACACTGGTAGAATATCTCCAGAAGCTAGATATGACATTTTAACCAAGTATGGTACAAGGAGATTACTTGATTCTTATCCAACTAGTCGGTATTCAAGACACGATGTTAATCCAATGTCTTCATCATCCAATGAAGAAAGATATCTTGATTCTGCACTGAACAATCGAAGTCATATCAGTCATGGTGATTATTTCGACAGATTTCCAATTTCAAATATTTTAACCACCTTAGCTTATCCAGTGAATGTAAGAAGTCGAAGTACAAGTCCAAAGCACATTCATATATTTAGTGCACCTGTAAATCAACCCCGAAATATTGAATCAGAGTATAACTTTCCTAATGCTTCCAGTCATAGAACTCCAAGATCTCATCGTCCGCTACCCATGGGAATTGAAAGCCGGCGAAGGCCAATAAGAGGACGGGTAAAGAAGCTTTATCAGAGTGTTGTCGGATATGAACATGATTAATTTGTTCGTCGTTCATTGTTGTCCCTTCTTGGTGTTGTTTCTTTTTTGCTGTCATTCATTAACGTCTTGAGAAATGATATGACTATTAACTGCTGTATCCATACCTTTGTCAAACTGCTGACTTTACGGGTTTCTTTATAAATAACATATTCAATAACAAGAGGTTATGATAGGTATTTTTAGTTTTGCCTCTACATAGGTAAAGTTGCTGATATCAATTTACCCATCAACTTTAGTTCAGGTTGGGAAGCTGCATTTGCAATAACACATCAACTAGCAATCAAACATAACGAAGTGGTTATGCCTTTCCATACAACTTAGTTAAAATCACCAACGATCCTTCTTATTACTCTACACTGATAATGACACCCTATTTTGTGGATGAAACATTTTCTGGTGAGAACATTCACTAGGGGGATAGTAAACCTGCCTCAATAGTAGTAACTGAGATTATTTCTTTAGGTTGGTGCTTTCAGAACAAATTTCACTCTCACGATCTCAGTAAATCACTTTCTATCACTAATATAAAGATTTCTAGGCATTAGTTCACTTGGAAACTAAAAATTCTTTCACTGCTTCATTTCGTTTCGGGATATTTACAAAGCAGTTGAATTGTATTTTCAATTATCCCATTGACTACTAGAATAAAAAGTTGAGTGTGTATATAAACTTGGTTATGTAGTGTTGAAAAATCATGAGTTGAAGAAGGTCACCTGCTTTTAATCAATACCTTCAAGTAGCTAGCCAGAATTTTAATGGTTCCGTTGTTCTGGTCATCCAAGCTACATACCTTTAGGTACACCACCGATGAACTCGAACACCACGGTAACCGATATTAGGGTGCTGTTTAGGTTTCATTTCACTGATAGTCAGTGTCGATGGTTTACAACATCTCATTTCAGTCAGTTGTATAAATTGCGTTGAGTATTTTATTATAAAAAGCATAACAATCATATAATTCTTTAGAAAGTTGCTTCTCATAAGCAGAAAAAAATGTTGGTGTCTTACTGAGAGATGTCTTATTACATCTACCGCTTGAAGTCAGCATCCTAGATCATGCTTTATGTCGGCACAAGACTGAAGTATCTACGTTGAATATACCTTTGTGTGCTTTAAACAGATGCTCTGAATTGTCACTATGATGTAGCGATTTCAGCTTGTTTAATATGTATTCAGTCCTTCATTTTCTGTTTTGTACACACGCATGTATTTTTTCTGCTGTTTTTCAATTCCATTTAAATGTTGTCCAAGAGCATTGATACTGTATACCTTACTAGCTTTGAATCTTTTCCGTGTATCATTTTACTTTTCTATTTCACAGTACTACTCCACTCATGGTAATCCCTTCGAAAATCTATCATTACCAGAAATACGTAAGTAAAGATAATATAAGATTGTTAGTAATCTAAAATGATTTTTGCACTAAGATTAAAATTGGTCTGTTTATATATTTAGTAATGAATTATTCTCGTTATCTAGAGGGAGAACAACTAGGTATATATTTTCTTCGAAAGAGGATAGTTTCAATAAGAAAAATAATCCAAGGCCGAAAATTTACTATTAAGTAAAAATCATTCAACTCTTTTACGACTCTCTTTCCTACTTATGCTCCTAGCAGTGTTGATGGGTATAAGTTGAAACAGTTAGATCGTTGAATGTTAGTGATGGGTGGTAACAGACAGTAAAAGATGCAGACAAAAATTTATCTCATGTGGACAGACACACGACAAATGTTTTCCGTTTCACTTCAAATCCGCATTGTTTATTTTCGTAAATTTCTATTTAATTCTTTGAGTAATGTTGTAAAGTGTAGCAACTTGAATCAGTGAACTTTTGTGTAAGGTTTTACATCACTACGCCTACCTCCGAGTCTGCATATCACGTTACACAAAAAACATAAAACTCTAATACAAGTGGGTAAAATGCATCCGTTCACCTACATTGTCAAAAACCCCATGTTACATATTTCAAAATGCAACCTTAAAGTGAAAGTGAAACAATGAAGTAGGGGGGCAGAATTTCATACGTTAATACATCTGCAAATATTTAGGTAATCGGAACAATAAGTTATTGAGTAAAATATTTCGAACAAATCAACTTATGAGACAAAAAGAATTTCCAGTCATCCCAGACACATCATTGAAAATCCTCGACAAGTTATTCCAGAAGATTTGGAAGGATGCAAAGATAGGTACCTGCCGTATGGAAGAAGCGCCACTTCATCAAACTCCCAAAATAGGGAGACCTCAGTCTTTACTAGAACTGGCAATAAAATCATGCTCCAACCCTGTCCACATCTAACTAAATAGTGAGCAACATCATCCTGGAGAGACTTAACAATGCTCTGAATTCAAAATTACGCCTAGAACAGGCTGGCTGGCTGGCTGACTTCAAGAGGATCGAATCATGTGAGGATCAGATTGCAACGCTACCATACGCACCATCATCATCATCATCATAGAACAGAGCACAGAATGCCAGTCAAATCAACTCAGCTAAACCTCAAACTCAATCTCAACTTCATCGACTTCGGAAAGACCTCGCTTCCATAGCATCAACCAACACGTAATTTGGCAGGCAGCTGCTTGCTTCAACACTACGCTTTCACTGCCACACACATCTATCATCCTCATTCAACACCAGCCATATGCTATACGAGGATGCTAAATGCCGAGTGATTCACAACACAATGGAAAGCTCAGTGATGTCTTTCAAGTGAAGACAGGTTGACAGGTGAGACAGTCTTGCTGCCTACCATCACCAATAATCTTCCTGATTGTGGTGAACTGGATCATGCAGCAAACCGTGAGGAGTGAGAAGATAGGCACACGTTGTTTGACTGATGAGAAAGAAGACGATTGAAGAAGATTTGGATTTCAGCACCGATGATGATTTATGTCTTATGTCTTGTAGTACAAGCTCGAAGATGTACAGGCGAAAGCTAACAAGTTGGTAGGAGAGGTGAGGCAGGGTAGGGCAGGGTAGGGCAGGACAGGACAGGGTAGTGAAGGAAGGTGGGACCTCACTCAGGTGAACGTGGAGAAGACACAGGTTATTGGAGATACCCAACCAACAACAAGAACATCAATAACGGGAAGCACCAATCATCATGAATGGGAGAAATCTGCAGGGAGTTGTCTCTTTCACCAACCACCCTACCAACCTACACCTAGACAGCGTCGTCTCAACCACAGACGGCGGTACAGGCACAGATGAGGATGTCAAAGTCAGCCAACCAGCCAGCCAGCCAGCCAGCCAGGCAGGCAGGGTCGGAAAGACAGCAAGATAGGCAGACCTTCCTTCATTAGTCTGAAATCGAATGAGTGTGGTGATCTACTGCACTGCACTGCACTGCACTGCACCGCAATGCAGTGCAATGCATCGCATCGCATTGCACTACACTCAGCATAAAGCGTGAACAATATGTGGATTTTCAACACTAAGTCAGTCAAGTATGTCAGTGCTTATAGGTGATCGTTGAGAGACTCGGTGCATAACGAATAGCATTTCCAACACACTGCAGACATACATGATCAACAGCTGTCGCCTACACCCACTCGATACTGAAGATCAGATGGATGGTCAGAATAATAAGAATAAGCAAGAAGGAACTCTGATCTGGCGAGAAACCAACCAGCAATAAATATGCAGAAGAAGAGAGTGGAGATGAATTGGATTGGATTGGATTGTATTGGACATCCAGTGAGAACCGAGACCGTCTGAGGATATCATGCATCAAGTCGGTGCAGGTTGTTTAGTAGAAGTCAAGTGGTAGATGAGTAGGTTGTTCGAGTGTGGGTGACGTTGAGAAGATGGTGTGTGGAAGAAATGAAGGCTTGTGTTGAGTTGTGGAGACAGGTTAAACAGGCTGCAGATAAGAGAGTGAAATAGCAATGTGGGGACGTTTATTATGCGTATGGGTTTTCCGACAGCTATAAATGTGCAAAATTTCAGATTCCGCTGATTTTAATAAACTAAATCACCACAGAGTAGTGTCATTCGTGGGAAGAACGTTCACCAGGTTGTCAGTTACTTTGTTTTAGGTCCATACGGTTTCTGTGGAACAGCTTCTTATAAATTTCTTTTCATCTTTGAGAACATATAACAATTTGCTCCTATACTTACGTCTGTTCATGACCAGAGGATCAGCCATTTCAAATAAAAATGCACTTGGCAACGCATTGCTTTCGATTTTGATACCTTTTTGTGATAACAACCAACTTAAATAGATAAAGCTTAACTTGAACTTCTGGAGTTTCGATTGTGCTGACTTGTTAGAAATCCCAGATGCAACAGAACAGTAACTGATTGACTCCTGATTTTTTTAACTTTTTGAGTTTATATCGCTCAGGGATAGAGGTAAGATTCATGTCAATCGATTACACTAAGCGTATGAACTTTTATCAGTTGAAAACATTTTATTTTCTAGTTTCATCTTTGAAGCTTAAGGACATGCTTGCTTTAAAGAAATATTTGTATAAGGTCAATGTAGATTTTACTGTTCAATATGCTTGAGAAGAATTGTTTTTCGCTACAGGTCATTCAATAACTAGAATTTATTCAAGATATTGATTTGAAAGCACTTTTCTTTGAAAACTTAAACTCCTTTAGTCATCATAAAGATCTAAAGTTTATTCCTTGTAATCGTTTCATTCTACTCCAGGTTTCTTCAGTAGTTTTCTACTTAAAACTTGGGAAATATGTTTAAGATATTGTTCACCTCAGACTGACATCACTTGGAGTACCACTGAAAATCGGGGAGTACTGGATAGCTTTTACGTCATAGTGTGGTACTCCTGAGTGGTACGCACACATGAACCTCTGAGCATCAAACTGGGAACTTTCAAGTTTCAGTGGGGAACGTGTTAACCATTTAGCCACTCAATCGAAGTTCAATAATCAACAATTTCACGCTTCTATCAATTCTTGATATAGCATTATTGTCATTCAAAATATTTGACCGCTAGCATAGTCGTAGGTCTGAACAGATGTGGAACTCCATACTAGGACGTTACAGCTATCCACCGATGCCAAGTATTCAGTGGTTCTTCAACTGATGTCAGCCTATGATGAATACTTCCTTAAAATAAGTCAGATCCCTATAAACTTCAAAACACTTTTGGAAATATTTATTCTTTCACTCACTGTATTTCAACTCAGTAGTTAACAATCACTAAAATCTTACTTTGTAATTTCTAAAGAGCATTTTGTTGGGTTTATTTTGGCCTAAAACTAGGTTTTGCCAAAACAATGATTTCATAATTTATTGTCATCCATTTACGACAAAATCCAACCATTCTACATAATCTAGTTGAAATTATTATTATTATTATTATTATTATTATTATTATTATTATTATCAGATACACTATTCGACGGATAGCTAGTAAGATTGAAGACACCAACATTACGTGAGTAGACAACAGGAAACACAATTATGATGTAGTTCGTTTGAATATTGAAAGATTCTCATAACATTAGTGGAAAAAGTAATCTTAACGAAGAAAATTCTTTCCAATAAATCTTCTCATCAGATTTTATAACTACAAAATACAATTGTACAGCATAAAAATAGACCAAGTTGGAGGTGAATACATTTACAAAGTAGAATGGGGTTAGGGGCTGTAAGGGAATCAATTTTTTCTTTCTAAATCTGTCACTAGTAAGATGATGTATGCGTAGATGAATAGTCTGGTTGTAAATAAGAAGATAACAAATAAGGAAGAAAGGAGTTACTTTTACTTTATTGACGGCAAAGGGAGGAATAGTGTTTGAAGAGGTCCTTTCTGAATACAAAGTTCAGATTTGGTCACTACTATTGTGACAGCCGCAGTCATGCTGAGTAGGCATTGGTGAGCTACGCATTTTATTGTTTTAGCTTCACGATGTATAACATTAAAGGCACACCTAACATCTTTGTAGTGTCCTGCATCTACTAAGTGCTTTGCCTTTTCCAAACCAAACCGGTAAATGCTTTTGTATTCAGAGACACACCCACCTAATCCTAGACTTTATGTAACTTGTTCCACACGAACAGCTGAATTGACATATGCAGTGAAGAGGAGCTGAGATTAAGTAGTTTATCCTCCGGTGTTAGAGTGAGCATTAACTAACTGCTGAAACGTATACACAGACAACCAGCATGAAACCTCGAATGACTGCTTTAGCTAAGTGTTGTGATTTGATGTCATTTGAACTGTCTGCTTTGAATTGTAATCGGGGAAACAGGAGCTTCTTTTCCACCACCAACGATTCTCCTTTGGGACTGAATCCGTTTCTTTAAGTGATTGACACATCATTATATTCTGTTCCCTTCATAAAAAGAAAGGAGGAGAATTTACAGTTACATTCAATGATCAATATTGAAAGACTG